TTCGGAAAAAAATACATACATAAATAAATAAATAAATAAATAAATAAATAAGAATTTTAAGAAACTTTAAACAAGGAAGGAAACGTGTTAAATATAATTTCTCGCGTTCGTGATTAAGAAATCATGATCTTTCTCTCCTATTTTTTAAATAAAGGTTTGATTTGAATAACGCAGAAGAAATCAGGAAGAAAAATTTGTAAAAATAATTATTCAATCGGAGGTGTGTTCTGCTTAAGAAGGTAAATGAAACGAAAGGACAAAGAGTACAAAGTTCCAATAACGAGATTGGATCGAGAGAAACGAAAGATAAGGGGATAAAAGAAGAAAGATAAAAAGTTTAGGAGAAGGAACGAGCGATGCATGCCACGTAATCGTATCTCGAAAAATGGACAGTGAGAATTCTTCGTGTTCTTTTGATAAAGTAGAAAAAGTTCTTCTTTATTGCCTGGCTGGAAAACATATTAAATCGTCTTGGCATTCTTTCGAAATGAACATGTTCTTTTCTTCAAATACCCCGCGAATACTGTTTCTCGAATTTCTTGACGATAAAAAAAATCATCCAGACAGACAGAGATTCGTTCGAAAATTTCGAATTTCTGAAAAAAACTCGAAGACATCCCAAATTTGTATTCAACTTTTATCCTTTGTGAATCTTCTTATCGTCAAGGAATAATTTCCAAAATTTCTCGCAAAACTAAATTCCATCTTCTTCGAAACATTCGAAACTCGCACGGATCAAATTTCCGCTCTGCCAAGGCTACCGATTCAACTCAAGTTAAAAACTCGATCGATTCGTTTAATTCCCTGTTTCCCCTTTTACAACATTCTTTCTTATTGTGTCGCTTCTCTCTTCATCCATCTTCCTCTCTCTCTCCCTCTCTCTCTCCGTTGCGTGCTCTCTCCATTGTCACTTATCTCATCTTTCCACCCATTTCCAGCCATCTTCTTCCCTCTTATATAGCTCGTATCATCGTTTTCTCGATCGTTCTCGAGCTTCCATTCTTCCCCCGATTTTAACATTTCAACCCGCGAATCGACACATTTCGGAAACGCGAAGCGGTTCACGCTTCTCGACAGAGAAAAACGAGGATACAGGAGAACAGTGTCAAAAGAGGAAACGATGCACCACTTCGCCATTCCATTCTTACGTGTTACGCGCTCGTTCGATTCAAGCTGTTTGAAAATCTGTCATCCCGACAGTAATACTCGTTCCTTCTAGGGAACGCGACATCTAGGAGTCACGAACGCGGGCCAACGTGCACAGAATGATGAAAGAGAATTGGTCGATTCATCTGGTGGATTATACACTCGAGAATTGTATTTCGCATAGCGCAATTGATGCTTGTGTTGCTTCGTTTTTGCCAATAATCGTTTAACAAAGATTCTCGTTTCTGGTTTCTATTCTTCTTGATCAAATTTTATTTCTTAAAAAATTCTGTAATAATTATTTAAATTTCTGATTTATTCCTGAATTTTTTGTCAAAATTGTCAAGATCAGGATATCTATAAAATTGATGAATGCTGGAGTTGAATAAAAATGGATGTTAAACAAGATTCGTGTACGTATATACATGTATATACGTTTAAAGTTTAAAACTTATATCTTGCTTAAATTAAAAAACTTTACTCCGACTCTTTTTCTTTTCCTTTATCGTTGGCACACCGTCACCATAATTTTCTCTTGTTATAACGTATAACAACGTGGAGAGATTAATCGATACTTCGTTAAAACACTTAGGAACTCATTAAGGCCATCCAGATCGCCGACGAATTCTTTTTCCCTTAAACTCGATACAAACTTCCTCGGCGTACATACCTCGGCACGTTGGCGGTCATAATCACACCCGATTCAAGGAACGTGTATAACATTTATTATTAATTAAAACAAGCGAGTTCTCCTTAAAAAAAAAAAAAGACACGTGTCAAATGTCCATGTACACTATAAAAGGTAACTCTCTTACGATCACTAGAAATAATACCCTGCATCGACTCATTTCTAAGTAAAACCATATAAAACGTAATAATAATACATATAATAATACAAATACGTCAAAGTACAAATGTTAATGCTAAAACGAGAAAACGTGGAATGTCGTAAAAATACTTTCCAATACCCTGTAAGTTCCGTGACTAAAGCTAACCTTACAATTCTAATCGAATTCGCGAAGGCGATCGCGTGGAAACGTCAGCGAGAGCAAAAATGAGACGCCAAGGACGTCGTTTCTCAACCTCGATCGTTCCAAGATCGATCGTTCGATGTCTTCTTTACCGATCGTTGGTTAAACGGAACCATTTAATAACTTGTATCTCGCCCACGCTGAAGTTTCTTTCGCGATGGAGAATCGTTCTTCAGCGAACGAGGAATGATTATGGAAGGGCAGAGGCTCGCTCTGTCTCGGGTCGACCTACCACTGACCGATAGACGCTACCCACGTGGCCTTTTTCTTTCTTTTTTTTTCTTTTTTTTTTTTCTGTTATTTTAATTCACGATTTTCAACATGTCTTATCTCGTATACCGAATATTTCATTCGATTGATGCATAGGAAATTTTTCTTTTTCTTTTTTAAATTGGCTGAGTTATATCGGAATATATAAATTATATTCTCTATGGATATCTAGATATCTATCTTCTAAGTTTCATTAATCTTAAAATGTCGTCGCACATTTTCTTCTTTGATATAAACTTTCTTCGAAATATTTATTCAAACGTAATATATCTTCTGATAATAGATACACGATTAATTCTAATTAATTTCATATGCACCAAGCTAATAGTAACATCAATGAAAAGAAAATTTTCGAAAAAACATTACAAAAAAAAAAAAAAAAAAAAAAAGAAAAAAATATCTCCGACAGAGTAATTTAAATTTCGAGACGATCATGTTCACCGGGAGAACAGAATTTTTTTTTCTTTTTCCAACGATTTCCGCCGCTTCTTTTCCGCCTCTATCTCGGCGAGAAACCACGAATTGCTCCTTTTCACGATGCAGCAAACACTTTCGTGCTTGCCTGTGTGTATATATACATATACATATGTATGTGTATGTGTAAGAGAGAAAGACGTGGGATCAGGGTCTGGTGTGTGAGCACGAGCTCTCCCTCGTACACAAGGGGTCAAGGGAAGACGAGTAGTGAGCAGAAGAGTTTGAGAAG